GGCCCATCTTTGTCTCTAATATTGAATAGGTCCTCCATATTCATTGCCTCGGAATACCATTATGATTTGCTCTCCCTTCTTAAATCTTTAAACCAAGCCTATTATCCCATAAAAAAGTCATCCTTCAACCGTGCTTTGTTAGACCAAAGAGTAGGTCCGCTTTTGACCACTGGGTGCCAGATCTGGTGTAAGCTCCTTGTGTGTTTCATTTGAACAAAACCATTCTACGTATATTTTACTCTGTCTTTTTGTCTTACGTGTTGGTACTTTCCGATTCTTTTTTAATAAGTACTTATCGGCTATGTTTTAGAAAATAAATGAGTAGATATGTACACCTTTCTTTGCGGTGGATGCTTGTATGTAGATTTAAAACCAAACGAGTAAATGAAATTTTGATTAAAAAAAGAATAGTCCAGTAAAGGAGAGCTCGGAGACTGAAGAAAAGAAGAAATGGAAGAAGAGAAGGGAAGGGAAAGGAAAGGAGGAAAAGGAGGGAGGAAAGGGAAAAAGAAGAAAGGTTTAAGGACTTAGGATGATTTTTGTCTGGAGAACACAAAGCCAGTTGGACAATTTTTTCAAGTCAGATGCCTTGTCCCCTGTATTGCATAGAGTGAGACTCCATATTTGTGTCGAATGGATAATATTAAATTAAGGCAGGTTGTATTGATGGAGGCATTAGGGGTTCTAGGTGCCTGCAGAACCCTGGGTAAGTGCTTCAGACTGAGGCAGGAGAGATCCTGGTATATGTGAGAAAGAACTTCTCAATCAGCAGGCTGAGAGAAATAGAGGTGACCTGAAGTGAAGGCTCTCACTGGGAGCGCCTCAGACAAGAGCAGCCATGTATCCTAGAGAGTTTGGTCTGTCTCTCACCTAGACGCCAGCCCAGATCATCTCCCAGGGCCCCTCCCAGCCCCGTCAGTGAACTGAGGGCATAAGTCCTGATGATGTTCAGGCAAGCAGAAAATGGAAAGCACCTGATATTCCAACCCTCTCTTTTTACCCAGGAGGAGGCAGACATCTACATTGGTGAAGTACTCTGACTCCTGTAGGCTAGGCCAGGAGTGAGAGATGAGGAACCAGAGCAGCTGAATGAGGGAACATTACCAGGCAGGACTCTGGAAATCCTAAACTTTAATGTCCCCAACGCTATTTGGTCTTCCTTGAACCCTATACTTCCCATCATTGGGCCACTCCTCCTGCCCCCAAATCCTGTACCCTTCAGACTGTTTTTCTCCATCTACACAAATCCACAGAGCGCGTCTTGGGAGCAACATAGGCCATGTGGCTTCATATCCTAGTGTTATCACTTACCAGCCATGTGGCTCTAAACACAGAAAACTTAATATCTCTGGGCTTCGTTTTCTTCAACTATAAAATATGGGCAATCATGGTGCCTCCTTGCAGAGGTGGTTGTGTGGTATAAATAGGAGAAGGCATGTGGTAGTTTTAACACAGTGTCTGAGATATAGTAAGAATAAGACAGGTTTGGGTATTGTTATCAAGCAATCAATGAGCATTTATTAAATGCTTTTGTATGGTGCTAATTATTCTGAAAGACATAAACCAAGATATCCATGGCCAAAATCAAGTAGAAAATTGAGAGCAAATGTTCCTTCAGTACCAAATTAGCCATTCTAAAGTCACGAGTCTCTTCTTTGCATGGGAGAGCACAGTCTCTTTTGATCTCAGCCCCATGGAGGGAGCACTCGCTTAGGATAAGTTCCTAGGATTGAGCCCTGCATGAAGACACAAAATTGTTGGTCACTGTCTTTGAGAGACACTTAGTCTAATTCAGTACTCCAAGAGCCCTTAGTTAGGCACTATTCCTGCCCATCATGCAATCTAAAAGCTAACCCAGGGACTACTCAGTCGTTCCCCACTAGAAATGTCTATGAAGCTCAGAGAGGAGCATGGCACCAGTGTCCAGTCATGTGGTTCTGCTCACACCTGACCATCAAAATTCTCTGGGAGAGATTCCCTGCCTTGATTCCTAAGCATCAAGATGCTAGTCAACAGCTGGGAGGGTAGGATTAAACAGAGACTCCCTAGATACTGCTTAAGTCAACACCAGTGGGTCTCCAATGGCAACAGGCCCCACCCTTTCTTCCATTTTTCATTTCGATGTAATTACAGATTCACATGCAGTTCTAGGAACTAATACAAAGAAGTTCTGATTCCCTTCTTGCATAACTGCGTACAGTTTCACAACCAGGAAATTGACAGTGATACAATCCACAGATCTGATTCAGATGACACCTTTTTACATGCACTCCTGTGCGTGGTTAGCCTTGTGCCTTTGTATCACAGATACAGATTCATGTAAACTCTGACAGTCAAGAGAGAGAACACTTCCTCCCTCCCTCTGCCAGTTCCTCCCTCCCTCCCCCACTGCACCCTGGGGCCACCACCAATCTGTTCTTCATCTCCATAATGTTGTCATTTCAAGAATGTCGGATAAATGGCATCATACAGTAGGTAACCTTTTGAGACTGGCTTTTTTTTTTTTTTCTCACCATAATTATTCCTTTGAAATCCATCCAAGTTGCTGAGTGTATCAGTAGTTTGTTCCTTTTTGTTGCTAACTAGTAGTCCATGACATGGACCTACCACAGTGTCTTCATCCATTCACCTGTTGAAGTTTATTTTGGTTGTTGCCAGTTTGGGGCTGTTAAAACAGGCTGCTTTGAACATTCACAAACTGTTTTTGTGTGAACATATATTTTCTTTCCCTGGGATAACTGCAGGGTGTAGGATAAGCATACATGTAGTTTTGTTTCAAAAACACCTGTTACACTGTTTTCCAGAGTGGCTGAACCATTTTTCACATCCCCCAGTAATGTACGAGTGATCCAGTGTCCGGTTCTTGGCCATGGTGTTATCTCTATTTTTTATTTTAACCATTCTGATAGGTGTGTAAGTGATATCTCTTTGTGGTTTTAATTTGCATTTCCCTGATGGCTAATGACGATGAACATCTTCTCATGTGCTTACTTGCCATCTGTGTTTCTTCAGTGAAATGTCTGATGTTGTCTTTTTCCCCTGTTCTAACTGGGTTGCTTGCTCTTTTACTGTTTAGTTCTGAGAGCTCTTTATATATTCTTGAAAGAAGTCCTTTGTCAGATATATGGTTTGCAAGTATTTTCTTCCAATCTATAGTTTGCCTTCTCATCTTCTTCGCAAGATCTTCTGAAGAGCAAACTTTTTAAATATTGATGAGTTCTAATCTATCAGTTTTTCCTTTTCTGGGTCAAGTTTGCGTGGTCAAGTCTAAGACCTCTTTACTCACTCCTAGGAACTCATGATTTTCTCCTGCATTTTTATTTTAAAAGTTTTATAGTTTTTTTTTTTTTTAAGGTTTTATTCATTTATATAAGAGAGAGAGAGAGCACGCGTGCTGTCAGAGGGAGAAGCAGACTCCCAGTGGAGCTGGGAGCCCGATGCGGGACTCGATCCCGAGACTCCGGGACCATGACCTGAGCCGAAGGCAGTTGCCCAACCAACTGAGCCACCCAGGCGCCCTAAAAGTTTTATAGTTTTATCTTACATTTAGGTCTTTGGTCCAATTGAGTTAATTTTTATATAAAATGTGAGACTTAAATCAAGGTTTTTGTTTTGTTTTGTTTTGTTTTGTTTTAACTTGTGAATGTCCACTTGGTCTAGAATCATTTGAACCACGCTTTTTTTGAAAGGCAACTTGGCAGTATTTATCATGAGCCAAAAGAATGCCCATACTTTTTTTCCTGTTGCTTCTGGGAATTCACTCTGAGGAAATAAGGCAGACACATGAATCAAAGTGGGAAGCTTGGAAAACAGCCACTATAACATTTTTTATAAAATTGAAAAATTGGAAGTAGCCTAAATGCCCAGTAATGAAGGATTGGTTAAGGAGGACACACGTGAAATAATAGGCAACAATTAAAAATATGTTTACTCAATAACTTTTACCCATTCAGCAAATATTTACTCAGTGTCCAGAGTGTTGGTGCCAATGATAACATAGCGAGAAAATCAGACACCCTCTCTCCCTTCTAGAAGCTCGAAGGCCAGAAGTGACAATAGAGAACACCGTGCTGCTGTATAGAAAAATAAAATTGATAAACTAAGGGGAAAACAGGAAACAAAATTGTAAGCACAAGGTGACTAAAGCAATGTTAAAATAGATGCCAGTGGAAAAGACCAAAAAAAATCATCGTTCTTTTAGGGTGATGGGTCAAGGACAGTTATTTTCCTCCTTGACTTTCCAAACTTCCTGTCGCACTTTTCTTGTTCTAATAATAACAATGATAAAGAGAAAAGCCCAAACTGAGAACTCACCTGTTGCCATGAAGGGTGAGGAGTGTCCATCTGAAGAGAGACAGTCACGCGTACCACAATCCAAAGGGCACAGAAAAGGCCGCTGCAGACAGCTCGGTGTTCAGAGCCCAGCTAAGTCATGCGGGATGATCCCGTCAGTCAGCAAGTAGCAATGGGGCCTCTGCAAGGTGACCTGTGTCACATGAGGCCCTCAGAATACATGCTTAAGAATAGACAGTCCCTGACTTCTGGAGGCTCCCACAAGAGCTCTGATCCCCATCTTCCTCATGCCTGCTCAGGGTTCCACACTTGGCAGCTTCTACATTCCCTCCTACAATCCTTTCCACAAACATAGATGGTTATTACGGGGGACTTAATTATACCCACTTTTCCAACAACAAGGTGCAGAGCAACTGCCCAAGCTCCCCTAGGTGATGACTAGCAGGGTTGGGGCTAGAGACCTGGGCTTTTAGCTCTACGGTTCTCTGAGTACCCTTTACTCAAGAGCGGTTGTGTTAACAGTGGGCTCAAAGCATGCAAACCATCAGCAGGCCACCATAACTAGAACTGAAATCCAGTGGATGAGAAACTTTATACCCAGAGCAGGGCATGGGCTTCTCCCCGCTGGTGGCCTTGGGGCTCAGGAGGTCAAGGCAGCAGGAGGAATATGATCTGAACACAGGCTCAGCTCTCCCTCCTCTCCCCAGATGGTGAAGGCAATCCAGGTCCTGAGAATTCACCTGCTGGAATTGGAGAAAGTCAATGAACTCTGCAAGGACTTTTGTAACCGGTACATCACCTGCCTCAAAACCAAGATGCACAGTGACAACCTGCTCAGGAATGACCTCGGGGGACCCTACTCCCCCAACCAGCCCTCCATAAACCTTCACTCACAGGTAACACACTGGGCTGGGTCCTATGTCCTAAACTAGGCTCCTAAGCTGGGTGTAGGAATGTCTGAAGGTTCTCTGGTGGCCTAGTAGTGTAGCTTAGACTCACTGGACCCTTTCAGCATGGAGGCCCTGCTGTGATCCACTCCTGCTCATCGAATAGCCCACAGAACTCACCATACTGGGGCATGGGTATTCCTTAGAAAATGGCCAAAGTGATTCCTGGCTTCCTGGCCCAAGAGAGCCTAAGAAATGCACCTAAGTGTTGAGATGAGGCTGGGGCAGAGCCGGGAATGGACCCCCACCTCTTAGCCCCGCACACTTCTCAAGAGGGCTTGCTGACCTCTCCGTGTTCTTCATAAGGAGGGTTTTGTCCTTCCCTGAATCCTGCCCATCTCTTAGATGAAGACAGCTTCCCATGCGACTGCTTCTGCTTCTGCCAGCTCATTTTCCAGTTGCTCACCCTATCCTGGCTCATCTGTCTTCCTAAGGTTCAGGGCCACTGGGAATGTCACCTCCCGCCACCCCTCTCCCAAGAGTCACCTTCATCCCAGGAACTGGGGAACCTAGAAATGGCAACTTTGTGTTTTGGGGTAGAATGAGCTCTTCTCTCCAGGGCGGAATATATTCCCCAAACCTACGGAGCTAAAAAAAAAAAGCTGCCTGGTGATACCTTTCCACCAAACTCACCGACATCTACGTAAGCCATAGCTCACTGCTTTCTTCTCCTCCTGCTGAGTTCCCGAGTTGGGGACAGACACATGGAGGGCCCTAGGAGGTTTATTGTACCCTCCTCTCCTGAGACAAATCAGGTGTGGGGAAAAGGATAAACTTTCTAAAGATAATGGGCACTCGAAAAAGTGTCTAAGAAAGGTGGTGCCATTTTTATCTCTAAGCTTTAGGGACCAGCACACTTTATCCATCCCTCCAGCTTGTAGAGGCAAGAGAAGGGTCAGGGGCCTTCTAAAAGGTCAGCCCTGCTTACACAAATTCAAAAGGATCTCTCTAGGACTCTACAGTGAATACTGTATGGGACACGAGGCAAGAAGTTTATTTCCTCTTCCCGTTGCTTGAAATTACCAAATCACTTTATTACAGATCTAAAAACAGCCGCCCAGGCTTCTGCTAGCTAATATTCTCTTGAAATAGACTCATTCCTTCAGAGTCTTATTGTACTTTCCCTTATGATCAAAATTAGCAAGAAACTTGCATAAAAGAGGACAATAATTGCTCAACGAGCATCTCGTTTGTAATTTATTAGTTTCTATTATTGTGGGTTACCATGGCGACGCTGCGCAGCCCCGGTGACGGGAGAGATGCAAGATAGGAGCTGAGGAGGCTGTGAGGCCTCAGCAAATGGAGATGCACATTTTTATCAGTAATTTTCATGAAAATAATAAGTGAGGAGTTAATGAGATGGAAAGCCATCCTGTGGCTATTGTGAATTTTTTTTTAAGTGTTGATCTAATTAGAATGCATCGGTCAGGAAAAGTAATGAGGATTTAGTGCCTCACAGAGATGTGAGGATCATATCAGAAAATTAGCACAAGTCTTTGGAAATAATCAGGTCCTTGGAGAGGCTCTGGATTTCCCCTCCTGGGCTCTCCAAGTCTACCTCATGCACTGACATTGGGGGTGTACTAGGGTAGTGGGGGAGGAGAGGAGGGCCAGAGGGCTTAGCAGCCACAGCGGCCCCCTCCAGGTCGGGGTCCTGGGGCTGACAAGTCAGTCTGCAGCAGGCAGGGCCACTGGGAGCCCAGGGTTGGCAGAGAAGGGTAACACAGGTTCTGGGTGAGCCAGGGCGCACAGACGCTGCCTGCGAAAGTCAGTCCTCCTGGGAGATCCCAGCCTTCGGGGCCTCTGAGCTTTGAGGAAAGAGGAGAGAACTTTGATTCCCGTCATTGTAAATATCAGATCTCTGCCTAATAGCGAAGCCGGCCCTGTGGTGGCCACCACAGAAAGGCTTCTGATCTGCTTAGAAAGAGGAACTCAGACAATCGGGCAAAAACAAAGACAGCTTGAAAAAGAAGACAAGGCGTTTGGCAAGGTGTTCCTATTTGGAACTTCTCAGACTTGTCCCTTCATTGCCTCTGCCTGCTTAGCTGGGACTTCAGTGGCTAAATGAGGTAATCACACACAGGCTGCTGCCGTAGATCCCAGCCCGGTCACCTGTCCTCTATGGCTAGCCCTCAGCACTCCACACACACACATGCCCACGCACCACACACACAAACACGCCTACACATGGCTCTTCAGGTTCTGCTGCTGCATTTATGGTCCTAAGGCCCTGTTCATGTCTTTGTCCTGCTCAAAAGCTCCGATTGTCCTCCGAGTTTTCTCATCCTTTGGCCGGATAGTGAAGGCTCCCCCAGGGCTGCATTTTCCCAGGCCTGTCTACTCCGACAACCCTTCCGCGGCTCTGCACCACCAAACCCAGCCTCTTCCCCAGGACAGCAACAAGGCTGCTCTCCCCAGGAGACCTCTCTGATGCCCCATCCAGAAAGGCCTTTTCTTTCTCCCAACTAAGTGCTGGAGCCCTGGGGACCACTTATATATAAATATCACATGCGACTTTATCTCAGTGTCGTTGGTATAAGGGTCATTCTCCTCTCCTAGATAACAGACGTGTTTTGAGTACAGACAGTATTTTATATACAATTAAAACCCACACCTGGTAGCAGCTAACCCAAGGTCTGATGCATGGACAGCTAGTAAATATCTGTGGGGAGAAGTAAGACAAGGAGACAGATGGCAACAGATCAAGAGGGGCCAGAGGAAGCTGAAGGAGGGAAGGAGAAATCAGAAGAAAGACAAAGGGAAAGAAAGACAACTCTGGAGGGTCACCTTCAAGAGGGAGGCAGAGGAAGGATGACGATCCGGAGGAGAAGGGCAGCAGAGGGAAGGGAAGTGAGGCTGAGAAGGCCAGAGGCAGAAAAGAGAGAGAAAAGGAACAGCAGCAGCAGAGGGGTGGGGGATGAAGGGACAGGCTAGGGGGTGCGGGGTCAGTGCGAAGCCAGGCGTGTGGAGGAGGGACGGTGCGTAGGATGCGCCACGTGCTGTCCACGTGCTGTCCACAGGGCAGGCTGCTGTCACTGTCCCTGAGCTGGGGGCTGCGGTGCTAGCTGGGCCTTCCCCAGGAAGGAGAGGCCTCGGCTGCCAAGAGACTTTCTGTGCAGGAGGCCGGCCTGGGAGCCAGTATGGGAGAGAAGAGAGGAGTGTCTGGGGCGTGTATGTGTGTGTGTGTGTATGCGACAAGCACACGCACGCGCACATACGATGGTTCACATTCGTCATGGTTCAACCTTAATCCCCCCAGCCTGAAATAGCCGCACTGAGCACCAGCCTGGCCCAGGGAGGGGTGTCTCCCCTCTGGAGCATGAGCCTCAGTATCAACATTCCAGCCGCCTGCCAGCTTTGTTGCAAACCGCTGGTTCATGGTTTTCCCTGTGTGCTAATCATTTGGCCTTGTGTTGCAAAGTGGGGGAGATTTTTTTATTCAAATTTACCCCCCCATGCCATACCATGTCCCTATTCAGCTCTATGGCAGCTGGTCACCTTCTTTACTTGGCCTTCCTTTTCTGAATGTGAGCTTTCTCTTGGGTGGGAGACAGGTAGGGAGTAGGGGATACAGCTTCCACCAAGCCCACAAGCTGAACTAGAATTCCCAAGAAATTGGGCCGCAGCTGGTTTTTTCCATGCCTCCAGGAAGCCTTCCTGTTCCACCTGCCCCTGAAGACACCCCAGCTTCCTCACACCTCTGAGCCCAGGTTTCTTGCTGCGGCAGCCTCCTCAGTAAGAAGGCTCATCCTAGACTCCCGATTCCGTTGGACAGGCTTCTCCCAGCTTTCCTAGAAGGCATAAACCAAACCATCCCACTGGAGAGAACTTAATTCCCACCTTGCTCTGAATCGGACTGAGCTGAAATCCTCGGTCACCAAGCATTTGGGGGGCACTGCACCATGCTAGATCCTATGAAAGCCTGAATGAATTATCCAGAAGGAGCTCCCAGTCTCAGTGCAAGGGAGCTGTGAGTCACACCTGTGGACCTAGGTAAGTTATGTGAGCCACAGAAGGCTACAAAATGAGGGGACATTGAGGAAGGCAGAAAGGAGTAGCCAGAGATAGGGAGAGGAGCCACAAAAGGGGTCTGGATCAAACAAACCACATGTGTGGCTTCAGGTTACCCGAGTCACTGCTTAGCCTCCTTCCCTCTGCCCCCAGAGAAGGCCTGGCCCCCGCCTGCCCACTCTCATGGCCACAGCCTGTTCCTGCCTGGAGACAGAATGAGCAAACCTCAGCATGGATTAGGTAGGCCAGCAGGAAGATTTTGCCCATTGTGATTGGGGAAGTTGCAGATTCTGTGGCCTTGGAAGGACTTCTTCGGGAAAGGGGATGAGGAGGTGGAGTGGTAGGCTATCTGGGAGCTCCGAAAGTGAGTGTTCCCGGTGTAGAGAGACGTCTAGGAGAAGGTAAGGAACAGAGACAGCCTTTCAGAATCCCTGGAGCGAAGAAGCTGCTAGAGGACGAGCGGTCATTCATTTCCGCCCCGTGCATCAGTTCAAGCACAACTGAGCCTGCTGAGTTCCAAGGACCTCAAAGGGGGTGTGACATGCTCTCTGACCTCCAAACCCAACAATGGCTGTGCTGCAAGGCTGAAAAGGATGGCCAGTCACCAAAGATGTGAGACATAATGGGGAATGTAGGCGATGGGGCAAGTGTTGGAAACATGTTGGAGGCAAACTAGTTGAGTAGCCACATCTTGTGCTGCCCCAGGAAGAACTGGGGAGAATGTCAACATTTCTTGAACCTTCCCTAGACTGTATGTACTGGGTGCTTTACGTATATTACCTTATTTACTCCTCACAGCAAGGCTGCGAGGGCACATTATTTTCTCCCCCAGGAAAGAGAAGCTCAGAGAAGTTCGACACTGGCTCAAGTAAACAGCAGAGACTGAGATAGGTTATGCTGGAGTCTGTGTTCTGCTTATTATATTACTTATTAATATT